ATTAAGGATAAATTGCCTACCTTGAACTTCCTGGTTTTTGGGTAAAAAATAAAACTTTTGTTTTAACCACTCACTGTAAGTCAGGTTTTTCTGTTCCTTGCAGCCAAATGCACATCTCACAGTAYACTCTCTCGAATTTTCTCCTACTCATATGGCTTTAACTTCTTTTTAGACTTATATCCTCTATTTTTTGTTTGTATTCTTTGATGCTATTCTAGATCTTTCACTTTTAGATCACTCTTGGTGATCATATCCACAAACATAGGCTTAAGTTCCCTCTTTGTGTTTTGGTGCTATATAGTTATCAAATTTATTTCTCCATGTTAAAACTTTCTCCTGAGCTACACAGCCATGGATGGTTTCAACTTCTCCCTCCAGATATCTCCATTTGCACATCCCAGAGGTATGCCAATCTTGGCTGGTCCACATCTGCTGCTTCTCTCCCCTGGTCTCCTTCTGTGAACAGCACCCCTCCCCCATGTGTAGATAGATGGATGGATGGATAGATAGATAGATAGATAGATAGATAGATAGATAGATAGATAGATAGATATTGCTTGACTAAATTCAGGTATATATTGCTGGAACCTGGGGCTTCATCTCTGATAATTTCCTTCCATGCACCCTCTATGCCAATCAAATACCAAATGCAGCTAACTTCTCCTCTTAAATATTTCTTGAATCCATTCACTTTCCACCATCCCACTGGACCATCGCACACCCAGGTACTCATCATGTCTTCCCCAGTTACTAGCWCGGGTTCCAGATTTGTTTACTGACTTCATTTTCCATTTTCCACACGGTTACTGGGAATCCTTCTAAATGCACATCCGAGGGTGCCACTCTCTACTGCTCTCAAAATACAATGCCAACTCCTTCCTCTGGTTACCTGACCTGCCACGAGGTGGCCCTGTGTGCCTTTTCAGCCTTATTTGTCACTGTTCTTCATTTTCTCCAACTCTATTTCTGGAATAACTTGCAATACCTCAAATTCATCACCACCTCCTGCACTCCCAGCTCTTGCTCATGGGATTCCTGTACCCACAGCATTTATTTCCAACAGCAACTCTTCCCTTGGTTCAACTCCTAACCATCTTTAAGTCTTGCCTTCAAGTGCCACCTCCTTCAGGAAGCTTTTTGTGATTGTCTTGGTCTAGATGGGTGCCTTCTCGATACTCTTACAAGACTCAGAGCTACCAAACTTGTGGTTTTCCATTAACATGTTCTACATGGTTCTACACAGTGAACTCAGTGTCTGTCCTGTTCATAGGTGACCTCTTAACTGCATGCTCAGTACAGAGCTCAGTGAGTAAAGACACTTACACTCTCCATATGCATATTATAAATATATGTCTATATATATTTAGTACTAGGGATTAAACCCAGGGGCACTTAATCACTGAACCGCATCCCCAGCCCTTTTTATATTTTATTTAGAGACAGGGTTTCACTATGTTGCTTAGGACCTTGGTAAATTTCTGAGGCTGGTTTTRAACTCATAATCCTCCTGACTCAGCCTCCTGAGTTGCTGGGATTACAGGCATATACCATCATGCCTGGTATATATAAAATAGCCTTAAATTCAGATACATATTGCTTAACTTATACTGAAAACAAACTTTCTTTGACATATGTCCAAATGTTATTTCAAAGTGCACTGAATGATCTATACACTCTAGCAAAGAACATTATTGAAACAATTTTAAAAGGCTTCAACAAAGTAGGCCCTTTCTTCCTATCATAGCTGACTTTTTCTAAATAATTATTTGAGTTTTGGGCAAACAGGTTTAGACAGATCTCTCAAAATGAGGTCACAMAACAACTGTGAAACAAACCTGGAAATATGAAGGGTTCTACACTTACTTCTSTCTTTCTCCTCTTCCTAGTCTATCCTACAGGTGTATATTGTCAATGTGTGAGAGCCCCAGTATCTCCCCTGGAAGGTGGGCACTCAGGCTTGGGCTCGGGCCACGCTGACTTCAGGGCCTGGCCTGGAACTGTGAGAAAGAATGAAGGGAACGGAGGCCCCGGGATCCACCCCATCATCATTCTATCTAAGAGTCAAGTAAAATATTTTAACTGGCTCCATCAGCACAGGCACTTGTGATCCTGGCCTTTCAGATCATTTTAAAAATTTATATATTATGAATCATAATAGGACAGCCTTTAGATAAATGTCAAACATTGTAAGAAAATGATGGGCTATTAAATGTCCTACATTTCCTCGGACATGGTATTCTAGTTTGGCCATTATTTTTGTAATTAGGGCAGAGAGGGAAACCTAAGTAGTTTAATAGGGTTTATTGTAACCAACAAATGTCTGATTCAAACATGTTATTACCTTAATGCCAAGAAATCCAACAACTCCTAAAATTGCTTAAGGTTAGAAAACATTACATTGTTTAAAAATAATGTGGCTTCCAGGTCAAGAAAGCATGGTTATACTTTAACCTACCATCTAACTGAAAGATGTAGTGTGTCACTTTAAAGCTGTGCATTGACTGAGCCTCTGGTGATTGTGTTAGTCAGCATTCCATTGCTGTGACGCGTACCTGAGATAAACAACTTTGAAAAAGAAGAGGGCTCTTGCTTTCTGAGGTTTTAGCCCATGATTGTGCACCCAGTTTGCTTTTTTCTGTTTCGACAGTACCTTGTGGCAGAAGCCCCAGATAGGACAAAGCTGCTCACCTCTGAGTAGCTGGGAAGCTAAGAGATAAAGTGGGTGGGGCCCCAATATCCCTTTAGGGCATCTCCAGTGAACTAACTTCCTCCTGCTAGACCCGCCCCTTAGGAGTGCCCCAGACTGAGAACCAAGCCTGTTGGGACACAACCAAAGCATAACAAGTGAGGACTGAGACCAGCACCAAGATGCCCTCTACAGAACAGCTATGCAACATCCACATATTGCCTGAGTCACTTCCACATTAGTGATTTTCCATAACAAGTTAGTTTCTGTGGTTCCCAATTCCATTAAGTTTGGTTTAGGTCTATGGTTTGGGTTTTTCTGTTTTTGTTTTTGTTTAGTACTAGGGATTAAACCCAGGGGTGCTTTGCCACCTAGCCACATCCCCAGCCCTTTTTATTTTATTTCATTTTTTAAATTTTAAGACAGGGTCTCACTAAGTTGCTGAGGCTGGCCTATTTTTGGTCATCTACCTGCCTCTGCCTCCCAAGTTGCTGGGATTGCCCGTGTGCCCACCATTCCAGTGAAATGTTTTTAAGATTTTAACTTGACAGCTTTTTCTATTCAAATTTTCATCCATACATAGTATTTAATTAGTGCTCTCTTCCTTTTTGGAAACTGCTAAACCATGAATATTTTTACTTTTATAATCAGAAATAAATTGTACACATGTTATTTATGTATATAATTAGAGACAGTGTTTCACTATGTTGCCTAGATTGGTCTCAAATTCATGAGCTCAAATGATCATCCCACCTCAGCATCCAGGTTTAGTATATATATTTTCAAAGACCCACAAAGCTTACCTCAGAAGCCATTTGGGGGAGAAGAATAGCAGCTTTGTTGAGAAAGAATCCATCTACAATTCACACAAAGTGCACAATTCAATGGTTTTTAGACTATTCATAGTATTTGTAACCATCACAATCAATGTTAGAACATTTATTTTTATTGCCCATGCCCAAAAGCCACCCTACATTCACTATTGGCTACCACCTCCCAACCCTCCAGCCCCCGACCCCTAGCTATAAGTAATCACTAATGCACTTCCAGACTCTAGAGATTTGCCTATTTGGGGCATTTCATGTAGATGGGGTCCTACCACTTGTGGTCTCCACAGCCTTCTTAAACATCACTAATGTAGCACTTGCCAGGTAGTTACTACCTGGAACTTCTAAATGGTAGGGACTGGGTAATATTCAACTTTTTGGCCAGTTGTTGGTGTTCAGTAGTGTTCAATAAATATTAAATGAATGTCCCCATTTTAAGGATGAGACAAATACATATTAAAGGAGTTTTGAGACTTGCTCAAGATCATAACAACAGTAGGGGAATTGGGGATTCTAGATTCTAAATATTTACTTGCTTATACAAAATATAACTCTGTCAATTTATATTCTTGTTTGTACATTTTTTGATAATACCTACCTCATAGATTGTGAAGATGTTAGTTATTCCTGAATCCTACAAAACCATGACAGGTCAGATGTGGCCATCTTCCTACAATGGAAAATACAGACAATGGGAGAAGATCAAGAACACAATTAGTTGGAACCAGGCAAACTCCCAGCTCTACCAATACACACACACACACACACACACACACACACACACACACAGCTCCCCTGGTTGGAAATGGAGACCGGTACTACTCAACTCATGACATTTTTCGGGATTAAATGACATGTTTTTTCCAGCACTCAGTGCAGTGTTATTTAGCTAAGTGAAAACGGATGTCTYTAACTTGGACCAGTTTTACTCCCACCTTACTTGAGAATCACAAAATTACATCACTAATGTAGCACTTTACTCAGGAATTGTGAAATTATAAAGTTATAACCTTATCACTTGTAAGATATAAAATTATAAATTAGGGTACTTAAAAAGTATCGCTGAGTCGGGGAAGTTGCACAGAGGCTAAGTGACCTGCCTGAGATCAGAACACCCTAGACCACACACCTCAGGACACCTCCAGCGGAATCAATCCAAATCCTCTTATCTAAATTGGATTCATAGCCACTGGTTTTTGGAGGAAGTGAACTGCCATTCACAGACGGAGGGTGACACCGCCGTTTCAGGCAGAGGGGAGGGTATGCGGCGACAGGGCAGATCTGGGGCCAACCTGAGGCCCCACCCTCGTCTGACTTGAATCACGAACCACATTTTGAGCAACTGTTGAAGATGCCTGAAAGCTACCCTGACTTCCAGGCAACTCCAACTAGCAGCCTCGCATCTCGCAGGCCCCCGCCTCCCGACGTCACTAGGTGCAGTGCCCCCTAGGGGCCTCTGCTCCTGAGGAGGAAGAGCCCGGTCCTTTCCGCCGCTGGCCCGTTACTGGCCGGCTTGGCTCTCTCTGGCGCCCGCCGAGACACCTTCGGGAGGCACTTGCCGCCGAGTCCCCGTGTGGTAGGAGGACCTGCCTCCCGGCTTTCCCTTCTGCATCATGAGCGTGCGCCTTTCGCTCGTCCTGCGCCAGTCCTGCCGCCTGCCGCGGCCGCCCGGCCCGCCGCGCCACCTCCGGGTGCCCATTCGCGCCAGCGGCGGCGGCGGTGGCGGCGGCGCCTGCTGGGAAGGTCTGCGCGGGCAGCGGCGGCAGCAGGATGGCCAGGCCCGGAGCAGCTGCGGCCCCGGCCACCCGGCGCCCCCAGCGCGGGACTCCATCGTCAAGTGAGTGTCCCGCTTGGCGCGCGCGCAGGTCCCCAGCGGTGGCGGCCCGAGACTCAGGATGGGGCTGCTGGAGCTCTGGGCTTTCGGCAGGTCCCGGGGACCGCCGTGGGGGTGGTGCCAACAGCGAGTGCTTGGTGCCAACTTGTTGGGGGCGCTGGGAGGTTTGCCGAGSAAGTGCGGGGAGGCGGACCCGCGCGCCGGCTAGGGACAGGGGCGCTCTGGGGCGAGGCTGGGGGTCGGGCGGCGGCGGGCATCCTCAGCCGGCGCCGCGCGGCTTGGACCGCCCGCCCTGCACGCCCCGCTCCACGTGCGCGCCGCCCTCCGCTCTGATGCAACCGCGCCGGGCGCGGCCCGAACGGGAAAGGGGCGGYGCGGCCGAGGGCGGGACTCCGGAGGAGGGGCTGCCGCCGGGGATTCGCCGCCGAGCGCCGGGAGGTGGCGGGGCTGCCTAGGCGCGCGGGTCCGGTACCCGCCCGCGCGATTGCTCCTCGGCTGCCCTGGCGCTGAAGCCACCCGGCTCCCGCAGCGCCGCGGCCCCCGCGTGTGGGGCCCGAGTCTAGACTGACTGCTTGTCCCGACGAGGCGAAGGTGGAGCCTGGCCGGTAAAAAGAGCCTGAGAGGGCGCGCCGGCGTRTCTGCAGCATCGCTGCGCAGGGGACAGAGTCCCCAGACCCGGAGGCGCACTGTGGGAGCCTCCCGCGTCCCCCACACACTGGCACCCCGACACGGGTCCCCATCCTTGGCCCTGAGTGGTGGACCCAGGAGGAAGAGCCCTGCCAGGCCCTCGGTGGAGAAGTGGGTTCACCGAGGCCCGGAGCGARCAATGCGCCCTGAACCCACCTGAAGGTGGCAGAAAAGCCCTTTCCAGTCTTTCCCTGAACTAAGATGCCCTTTCTCTGGGCAGGCGGTCCTTCCTACTCCCCTTCCACCYCTTCCTTTTTCCATCTAGACCTCATTCTAAAAGTCACTGCCTCCCCCKACCCATACCTGTCTCTGCCTCCCTCCTCTCTCCCATGATGACTTACCTAGGCTTCTTTATGATGCGATGAGGAGGAGGAGCCATTTATGTAGATTACCTGTCATTTTCTGAATGTTGGATTGACTTTGGGTCATTAGATTTTGACCAGTTCSCAACCTAGCCTCTTGGTGCGGTAGGGTCTGAAGACAGCTTGGGAGGCAAACCCATCCCTCTGTTTTATTTTCTAGATAGCACTTATTATTGCCTCAGATTTTCTTGTCCTTTTTTTATTGGCTCATTTCTTTTGTTTCACCCACCTGGCATGTTAGTTCCAGCAGGGCAGGGACCCTGTCTCTTCAGTCTCTAACCACTCCAAGTCTATGCTGGGCATTGTGGTGGTGGATGAATCAAGTTTTGGGATCAACTGAGCGTTTTGTTCGTGTGTGTTCAGTTGTTTAAAGCCATGCTTAAAGATGAGTAGAGTTGTTGGGAGGGATTCTAAACCCCTAGGCCCCCCAAACTCAGTTCCTCGGGAAAATGGAGCAAATAAGGTACTCAGCACCAGCGATCATGAAACAGTTAAGTGAGAGAGCACATAGGAAATGCCTCGCCCAGGAACTGTTGCATACTAAGCCCTCAACAAATGTTGGCAATTAGTTTTTTCAATGTTCTAAAACCAAAGTGCATAATGGGACAGGTAGTAAACATTYTATATTTAATGAACTAAATTTTAAAATATGATGTAGATACTTTTATAACAAAACAAATTTTTCTATCATTTTTTAAATGAAATTGAACAACTTATTAATGGACACTGAAAGTTGAATTTCATTTAATTTTCCCATTCCATAGACCTTATTTCTATTTTTTTTAACCATTTAAAAATGTAATAGTTGGTGGTTTCTCCCTCTGGAGGTGGCCTACATTTTCCCTTGAATGTGTATTCTTTGCTTTACCCCCCCCCAAAGTTTCTTCCTTGTACTCCCTTGAATATGCCTCTTCTTTCCAATTAAGCCTTTGTCTCAAAACAAATAAATAACAATAATAGTGAGTCTTCATTTGTAGGCTCCTGTTGTAAACCACAGTGAAGTRTTAAGTCATGTGTCTCTGCTTCATTTAATTATGAGTAAGAGTCAAGTGACCTCATTCCAACTCGACTTTACCACTCATTAGCTGTGAGTGCGTGGGCAAGCTGTTGGATCTGTGTCTTCCTCTATAAAATTGAAACCACAATGTTAGCTTTGCTGTGAAAATATTCCTGAAAAAAAATCAACTTAGGGGAAGAAAAAATTTTAACTTATGGTTTCAAAGGTTTTAGTCCATGGTCAACTGGCTCCARTGCAGAATTCAGAACAGAAACATCAGGATAGAGRATGTCACCCGAGGAAAGCTACCAGTTCACAGCTGTGGGGAAGCTGAGGTGGGGACCGACAAATGTAGTTGCCAAAGGTTTGCCTCCCAGGACCTGCTTCTGCAATTAGGCCCCTCCTCCTCCAGTTTCTATCACCTTCCAATAGTCAGACAGATTATGAATCCAACAGTGGATTAATACATTGATGACATCAGAGCTCTTATTATCCAATCACATCCTGAAAGCCCCCACCTCTGCACATTTCTACACTGGGGACCAAGTCTTTGAGGGACAGTCCAGATCCAAACCATGGCAGTCACTGACTTTATGAAGTGGTTGTGAGTTTTAAGGGACTCTAGGACATACTTCTTCAGAATCTCTAAAACTGGTATTTGTCTTCCAGTTGGTTGATACTGTTGGCCAGGTGGCAGTCACTTGGCACCTGGCATTACCTACACCTGTAGGAACTGGTCATGGCCATGGGTATTGCTGTACCTGCTGATTGAGTTATGTGCTTGGTTTCCTGAAAGTCTCAGCTCTGAAAAAGTTTCCCCCGGATTTGGAGGAAAGGGGAAAGGAAGCTGACTAGAACAGTCAAGCTGGAGTAGACATTCAGGAGCCTCAGATGTTGGCTCTTGATTCATGAATATGAGTCAGAACAGTTAAGGGACAAGCTCCCTGAGAGGTATAGTAAGTAAACTGTTCTGGTGGTAGTGTCTCAGTTTACCGGCATGCTAAGGTAATTTTAGGAAATAATAGGGTTTCGGATGATGTCCATTAACATCTGCTGTAATCATGACAGCATCAGATTCAGCACATGCAGAGCCTGTGCTGCAGTTGGGATGCTGAATATCCTTCATGTGTTAAAGGGTTGGCCCAGAGTGTGGTGCTGCTGGGAGGTGGAGGAACTTTGAGAGGTGGGGCCTTAGAGAAGGTCCTTAGGTGTTTTGGGAGCATGTTCTTTTTTTTTTTTTTTTTTTTGGGAGCATGTTCTTAAAGGGGATTGTGAGACCCTGGTATCCTTTATCTTTTCTTTCTGGCTCACGAAGTAAGTGGTTTTGCTCTGCCACATACTCCCATGATCATGCCTTGCCCTTGCCAGAGCTACAAGGCAGTGGTGAGCTGCCCAATCTTGAACAAAAGAAATCTTTCCTCTGTGAACCAAAAGAAATCTTTCCTCTCTGTAAGTTACTTAGATATTCTGTTGTAGTAACAGGAAGGTGTCTAAGGTACTGAAGACAAAAATGACATGACCTTTTAAGAAATACCATATCCCCAGTGCTCCTATAACACACATGGTAATTGTATGGGGTGGGGTGGGGGGTAGAAACAGTGACCTGCAAATAACAAAAATATGTTGGAGTTTTTAAATCAAATTCAGAAAAGGCAGATCCTGAATGTGACATTTCAGAATACCTCAATTAAGTTGGTTTGTTTTCTTTTTATGTATATACATAAATGTGAGTGGTTTATGGCAAAACACATTCCATGTGTTAATAAGTCTAAAAATTTTTGTTGGGCCAAAGGTGTACCTCAGTGGTAGAGCACTTGGGTAGTATGTGAGAGGCCCTGGGTTTAAGCCCCAACACTACCAAAATAAATAAATAAATAAATAAATAAATAAATAAATAAATAAATCTGTCAGTACTTACAGCATAAATACTTTGTGTTAAAAAAGATTGTGCCACAGTTAACTGGCCGAATCTTTTCTTTTTCTTAGTGGTTCATAAAATAGTGGTGTGTCTTTTGTTATCTTAGATTTGGTGGAATGCAGTAAAAAAAAGATCCTCCTGTTGGGGCCCTCAGATCAATCTTCTGCATAACGTTGAAAATAGGCCAGGCTACTCTAATAGAGGTCTTAGTTCATTTTGTACAATTATGGCAGAATGCCACAACCTRGGTAATTTATAAACAACAGAAATGTCTTGCAGTTCCAGAGGCTTGAAAGTCCAATATCAAGGTGTCTGTATCTGGCAAAGGCCTTCTGGCTGCATCATAACATGGTCAAAGGCAGAAGGGCAAGAGGGATAGGGTGCAAAGTCAACCTTTCATCAGGAACACACTCCCAGAAGTGTCCTCATTTCCAATTATCTGCCAGCACTGCTGCACTGGGGATTAAGTATCCAACACATGAACTTTGAGGGACACACAGAAACCATAGATGACGATCCCTATGATGACCCCTATGATAGTTGTTCCCTGTGATGGCTACTCACTGTTCCAGTTCTGGGAAAAAGACCATCGCTTTGGTGTCACCACCTCACAGCCAGCAATAGGGGAAAGGGCCAAGGTTGCTGGTTCAGGGTCCTCTTGACTGAGCATTCTTATTGTCAAGAAGGCTCACAAGAGCCCACCCAGCTACAGGTGAGTGACACTGGGAAATGTGCTTCCCAGCTGGTGGCCACCTTCAGCTAACATGGAAGTACTATGAAAGGAAGTTCCCAGCCATTGTTATTGTTACTGTTGAATATTAAACTGCTCTCCACTGCTTTTACCCAGAACTCCTCCTCTGAACACCGGGAGACGTCTTTGGAGGAGTCTGCTTTACAAACCTTTGTTGTATTTGTAGAATAACCTCTTTTGCCTTGGAAAGAATGGAAAAGTTGAAATGTAGAACATTATTAATAAATAGGTTCAGCATGCAGAAATATAAACCTAAATTGACAGTTTTCAATAACCTGACCAACTGCTTCCTCCCCAGCTCTTTGGCAGCATGACCACAGCTAGCTGAGGCAGCTTTGTGTCCTGCTAACCTACTTACTGCACAGCAGGCCAGAGGACGAGCTGCTGGAGATAGTAATGGTGGAAGATACATCTAGGGTAATTGTAACGAATAACAAAGCTAGTGGTGATGGCTTAGGATACTATTAATTTATCTTTAATACTAGAATTCTGAGTTTTAGTTACACATGACAGTCCAGCTAGCATCACACACTCCTCCCACTTGTTCCCAGCCAGATGGAGTTAACAGGGCCATGTGTTCTGGAAAATCTCTGATCAGAAACATTTGTGCTACTTTTTGGCTTCATTGAACCTGGTGGCTTCTTGCTCGCTGTGCTCATCACTGTCGGAATAATGAGTAACCCTCAAACAAGTGGCAGGTTGTCTGGGCAAGGACGGTTTGTTTTATTAGCTTTGTTGAACCCTGTTTATCCACCCATATCTTCTATACTCTCCCAGCTATTTTAAAAGGAAAATCTCTTTTTACCCATGACTTATCTGTGGTAGTGTTCTTTTTGTTTTATTGAGGTGGGCAAGACTTTGGATGTTTCTGAGGAAATGACTATTGCTATCAGTATGAGTGTTTTTAGTGCTTAGGTTAGCTTTATAGCACAGAAAAAAAAATCCAATTATAAAAAAGGAATCAGGGAGCTGGGGTGTGTATCTACATTCCCAGTGACTAGGGAGGCTGAAGCAGGAGGATCACAAGTTTGAGACCAGTTGAAGCAAGTTATTGAAATCTCAGCAACTTAAGGGAGATCCTGTCCTAAAATAAAAAATAAGGTGGTTGAACATGTGCCCCTGGGTTCCATCCCCAGTATCCCTCCTACATCCAGAAAAAGTAAGAGAATAGAAAAGAAGAAGGAAAAGGTTAAGAGCCCCTGGGGAGCACCTGTCTTACAGATAAGGAAGCCGGGCTCCATGGAGACCAAGCGAACTGCCAGCCCTGGTAGAGCTCCAGACCGGGCTGTGTTTCCATGTCAGTGACCCGGAATCCTGGACGCCCAGTCAGAGAGACACATTCCTGGGCCCCACCCAAAATCTTGACTCAGACTCTCTGGGGCGAGTGTAGAAACCTTTATTTTTAGCAAGTTTCCTGGATGGTCCTTTTGCCACTCCCATGCTGGTGGCTTCCCTGGCTGGGCAAAAATGAGAACCAAATCTGGCCTCCATGAGCAGCCTCTGCAGGCTGGGAGGCAGTGCGGCTTGTGGGCCTTAGCCACCCATCCCAGGACCCATGGGGTGAAGTGCCCATGTATATGGCGATTTACCAACTTTACCATTTGGCCACATTTATTCAACACAATAGCAAGCTACTTTGCTGGGAATTAGGTTGCTTTCTCCCAAGTGTTTAAACCAAAACAAACAAATGGTCACAGGCTGTGTACAGTTGCCTGCCCACCTAGTCTTCCATTTCTAGCCTGGGTGACAATACAGAGGCTTGTTGGTTGTGAGTTTGGAAGCATTTCTGTCCTGAACAACCATTCAGCTGGTCCACCCACCAGAGGGCTGCCGTGCCCTCTGGTCACATTTCTAACTACCTTGTTGAAAACTGGGAGATAGTTTGCTCTTGGCAACTGACTGCTGATGGGATCTTGCAGGAATCTCTTCTTGTATTCTTTGAAATCTATCAGGTGCTTGTAAGAACCTGTTGGAAACCAAAAACACCATTTGAAGATGGTCTAGGGCTATAGTTTAGTGGTAGAATGCTTGCCTAGCATGTGCGAGTCCCTGGATTCAAAAAAGATGGTTTTGACACTTAAGTCAGGAACTTCCAAGGGTGAACTTTGATCTGTTGTGAAGAGGGGGTGCCGCAGTCTGGCTGGGCACAAATCACGAGCCACTCAAGCAGAAACAAATTTTATTTCCGAACTCCACCAGCACACTCCACACACGCTCCCTGGGAACCTCTCTCTAATGACACCCTCGAAGCTCCTCCAGGCACACACCACACCAACTGGAAATCCCTCCTCCGGACCTTCCCCAACTAACACAAACCCTCCAGGAATCCCCTCGAGAACTCCAAAGCAGCAAGAGCCGCCCCATTGCCCAATAGTAAAGGTCAAATATACAATACAATCAATCCAGCATCACAGCAATTATATATAGCTTAACTCCAATCATCATCTCAATGGTTCGCTGGTGTCCCCTTTCCAACATTCCCTCTAGCAAATGCCAGGCATGGCTGGGGCTCTCAACAAGGGGGAAGGGCCTACTCGTGTTGTTGGTATGCCTTTGAGAACATTTCATATGGGTGAAGGTGGCTTCTGAAATCCCTCATCCAGAGAGCGAGCCTGGTTCTTGCCATATTTACCTGGTCTACCCACCCTGGGCTGGCACCTTTTACTTCCGGGGCTGCGAAGCAAAGTGCTGGGTTTGAGAGGCGCTGCCCCTCCTAGGAAGAGGCTCTTCCAGAGAGGCCTTTAGGGTGCTACCAAATGGATTCTGACATACCCCATTTCTGCAGCTTACATTTCCCTCCCCTTCSTCTCCCTTCACATTGATTTTGAAACTCTGGGACGCAGAAATCAGCCTGACACCATTTCTTATCCAACAGCCAGCCCCCTCCCTGAGCCCCTGTCTCCACCACCCTCTCCCCACCTACATTTTCTTTCCTTCTCCGTGGTCCCCAAACTCATTTCTCTGGTAGAGGAATGGGATTACTTAAAATAGAAACCCAAACTTTTTGGTATAGTTATCTTGGGGAATGCAAGAGAAAAATTCACCTCTASAAAATTATCATTAACATTTAGCTTGTTTCCTCTGCATATTTTTTTAAAATTGGATTGTCACATTTTTACAAGTTAGGATTTCTTGAGGTCCCTGTTGGCACTGTTGTCCTGCTTCTCCCCACCGTGCACGGTAACCTGGGCGCTCCTCCTGTTGTCTTCTTATTGTCATATACAGTAACAAACTTTGTAAGAAGATACCGTGAACTTTTAAGAAAATATGTCCTATCCATTCTTTCTCCTCATTAACAAAGAAATGACTTCTGTTTTCCTTTCTCAATTTAGAGAAGTCATTCAAAATTCAAAAGAAGTGCTGAATTTATTGCAAGAAAAAAACCCTACCTTTCAGCCGGTTCTGGTTATCATTCAGGTAAGCCTTCCTGCTACTTCAGGATGCCTCTCGATTTAGAAAATGATCATCAACAGAAGACCAGCTCGCTTCTTGTCTGGGAAGAGCAGGCTCGGTTTGTTGATGCTTGGTGGTTGCCCTGCTGAGTCCTCTGTAAGGTGTGGGTGGCCCCAGAGRTCAGCAGTCAGGTGCCCACACCTGCATAGTGCAGGATTTAATGTAGCCCGTGGGTGTTTATAAATGCTTATCAACTGTGATTTGGAGGTGATTGGGAAAAGGCTCCCCTTTGTCTCTGAGAAAGACGGACGCTAGACAACATGTGGGTGCTTGGTAATCTCTTCACTCAATCTTTTAATGCCTGCTGTAAGCTTGACGTGCCAGGTGTCATTACCATGTCAAAAGGGCATTGCGTGTCATGAACATTGTTTGGCGGCAGCCCTTTAGTGCTGAGCTACCGTTGCCCTGTTTGCTGTTGTCACTGGCATCCTTGTGTGATGGCAGGTGCAGGGAAGGGACGAGGTGGCCAAGCCTAGAGCCTGGCACACCCAAGGAGTTGGACTGCCCTGTTGTGTTTGGCGTGCCTCCAGTGTGTCTGAAGAGCAGCTTCCAGATCCGTCGGGGTGTGCTTTTCCAGATATAGAGCTGTGCTCTGGTTACTTAGGTTCTTTGGGGTCGGATCCATAGSCCCTCACTAGGAACGGTAGTTAGCAGGAAGCTGGGTCGAAGTAACATAACTTGGAAGTCTGGGTATGTTCCTAAATACCAGCTATTAGTCCGTTTTTATTTTTTATCCGTTTTCCATACTGTCTTTATGATTAGATAATTTGTAATCACAATAGTCAGTCGCTGCATTGTTCTGTGCCTTCTGGAGATGTGTTCTTCATGTCATTACCTTCTCTTCTCCTCTTGCCTCTCTCTCCTAAGACAGGAGATGACAACTTGATGCAGGAAGTCAACCAGAATTTGGCTGAGGAGGTGAGCATTGCTGTTTTTTTTGTTTGTTTGGTTTTGTCTTGTTTTAATTCATTATAATTCTTATCCCTATAAGCTCCTAGTGACCGACAACCTCGTGTTCCTTTCAGGCTGGTCTGAACATCAGTCACATCTGCCTTCCTCCAGACAGCAGCGAGGATGAGGTAATTCCAGCCCGGCCCTTTCCACTCCTCTTTCCTCTCGAGACCTCAGGACGTCTCCTGGTTGTGGGGGGAGCAGGCTTTCTTGTGATTGAATTTGCAGGGGGAAGGGTTCATTTTTTCCTCTGATGTCAGTGTCTTCCTGTCACCCACCGTGTTTCTCAGATGGCTTGAGCTGGGGCTTTGTGCTTCTGACTGCTTCCTCAGCCACTGCATCAGCGGCTGGTAAAACTGTCAGACTGTGGATGTCTGGAGACCTGGCTCTGTCCTTGCTCTGTCCGGATAAGTTCTTGGACCCTGACAAGCCGATCTTCAGGTGTTTTATTCAGTTTTTTCATCACTATGACCAAAACCCCGAGGAGAACAGCTTACAGGACAAAGAGTTTATTTGGGGCTCSTGGCTTCAAAGGTCTCAGTCCACAGACGGYTGGCTCCATGGCTGACTCCATAGCTCTCGGCGAGGTGAGGCAGCGTGTTGCAGGGCAAGGGCCCAGCGGAGGTCAGCTGCTCAGCGCACAGTGGAGTCAGGAAGCCACAGGGAAGGTACACTCCCTAGCAAGCCCCCTCCTCCAGCCGCACCCCTCTGCTTACATTACCGCCCAGGCCACCATTCAAACTGATCACTTCACCACTCAATGTTTGTGCCTTCACAGGAGCTACTGGGGGACACCACATCAAATCCGTAACCCCTCGGCTAGCATTCTGGGACTCCTTCAGTGGCATCTTGAGGCCGCTGATAAACAACACCCCGAGTTTCTTCTTGCTGCTATTCCACRTGATCTAGTCGTTTCTGCCAGCAGCCTTCCCCACTGTCACCTCCAGCRGGAGAAGCAGCACCCCATCAGCAGTGGCAAGGGGGCTGGGCTACACACCGCAGGCCTTCGGTGGACCTGGGCCTCTTGTGGCTGGCTTTCCTCTATGAGGATCGGGTTGGGGCTTATAGGATAGAAAGCCTCAAGTAACAGAGTATTAAATAGCAGAGGAGTTTATCTCCTTGTACGTGAGTGAAGTTCAGAAGTCAGCAGAGCCRGGCTGGTAGCACCACAGAGTTGTCTGAGGCTTAGCTCCTTCCTGCTGGTCCGTGCACTCTGTTATATGCCTGGTTGATGATGGCAGGGTCACCTCTACCAGTCACACTCACATTCCAGCTGCTGTCAAATAAAAATAAATCCAGACTTGGTAAAGAAGGATTCTTTCAAGGTATGGAAAGAGACTGTGACAATAGGGAAAGTGAGGAAGGGGGACAAAAAGTCCCAAGAAACTCAGTGGATCCCTGAAACCCCCAATGATCCCAGACCCTAGAGATACAGCACTTTGTGGCTTCTCCTTGGTGTATCTGAATTCCCTGCTTCACTACCTGCCCTTGTGCTTTGGGCCATCATTAAGTAAAATAAAGGTTACGTGAAGACAAGCCATGCTGTGCCATGCTGTGACTCGTTTGATAACCAGACTTCACGTAACCCTGACTTATTTTTTGACAAGGAGTCGTTTATTTTCTATTTTTCTGGCGTGAAATTCTGATGAAGCAAATTAGCGTGGAGTTATGGAGTATTACATTGAAAAGGAATATCTTGATTTACTAAGGTATTTTGACTTTTGTGGCCTCTTCCAAATCTGAGATACAGGCAACAGAGGTTCCCTCTCTACATTCTGAGCTCTGCTKGGAGGTACGGCCATCACGCTATCAGCCCTTTACCCCTTAACCTGCTTTGTTTCTCTTCACATTTTGATCCCTTCCAGAGCTTTTAATATTATTATTGGATAGGGGAAGTGTYTTGCCTCCCCATGAGAATATCAAGTTTACAGGGACAGTTTTGTTCACAGCTATTTCCTTTACTTAGAACTCAGCAGAGTCGGTGTTCCAAACCGATATGTTGGGCAGGACACAGTGACACACTCCAGTAATTCCAGCAACCTGGGAGGCTGAAGCAGGAGGAACACAAGTTTGAGGCTGACTCCTGCAACTGAGTGAGACCTTGTCTCAAACTAAAACTAGAAGCGGGAAGCAGAGAAAGACTGAGGATGTAGTTCAGTGATGAAGTGCCCTTGGCTTCAACCCCCAGTACTGAAACAAAAAAGTTTGTTTGTTTTTTAATTGGGTAAAAAAATAGTGGGCACCCGGGTACACACCTGTAACTCAGCTACTTGGGAAGCTGAGGATCCCAGGTTCGAGGCCATTCTGAGCAACTTAGCAAGATGCCACCTCAAAATTTAAAAAAGAAAAGAGTGCAGTTGTAGCTCAGTGGTGGAGTGCTTGCCTAKCAAGCCTGATCCTGGGTTCTCTCCCCAGTGGRAAGAAGCAAGCCACTTAGCTGAGTGAATGAAACATTTTTCTTTCTGAATTGGTATCTCAAATATCATTTTCTTCCCCTCCTAGGCAGTAATGCTCCAATAATTTTTGTGAGACAATAGAAAAAAGTGATGAATCAATACTTCCTCTAAGTGAGATCCATACGCATGAGCTAGAATCGTCTTACTCATGAGCAAATGATTTGGTTATGTAAAATGAATCGGGATCTTATCTTCTGGCATARGAAAAGTGGTAATCAGAGAAAGAAGAAAAATGTTGCTTCTTTGGCGAGGCATCTCGTCACTCACCACCTAGTTCATGTCAGCTTCCCAAACTATTTTCATGAGCTATAAATTATTTTAGTGTTCCCTAGAAAAAGGAACTCTGTGTGCTGAGAATTTCTCTCTCAAAAGCCATTGGGAAAGCTTCCCGTGTGCCGTTTAGATCCAGAGAGCCTGGGGGAGAGGAGTGCTTGAGATCCGTGCYTCCAGGCCTCCCTGAAAGCCGGTGGTGTGTTGGGGTTAAAATGCRCCTGTGGACAGGGATGGTCTTCTGTCCATCTGGACCTTAACAACTGTCAAGCTCTGCTCYCGTTTGCTCTTTTCTGGCAGAGTAGTGAAAAGGACTATGAGGTCACTAAGAAACTCAGCCAAGCTTCTTCTGAGCTTTCATAAACGTGACGAAAAGAGGCAATAAACTTCTTCATTGTGATGTACACCAAAAGTCTTCGAAAAGGAGTAAAAAGAAATGATAACAGATGCATTAGGAACCAATTTTTCAATATAAAGCTGCTTTTGTTGGGTCTTATTTCCACACAAGTGTTTTTTTTTTCCTCTTTAGATTATAGATGAAATCTTGAAGATTAATGAAGACAACAGAGTACATGGCCTTGCCCTTCAGATCTCTGAGGACTTATTTAGCAACAAAATCCTCAATGCCTTAAAACCAGAGAAAGATGTAGATGGGTAAGAAAATATGAAAGAAAATAATCAATATTTATTGCAACGTTATTTTTTCTACTGAGATTTCTTTCCGCCTAAATTCTCTTTGTTGTTGTTGTTGTTGTTTGGGGGTTTTTGTTTTTGTTTTTTTTTTGTGCAACTGTCAGTGATTGGAAGATGAAAAAAAATCATTTTCAATATTTCAAGGGTTGGAGAACTTATAAAATTCTGTGTAGAAAAGTTCTGTATCTGGGACAATACCCTGGCCCTTTTGTAGTGCTTAGGAGCCATTTTGGAGATAATCTTATACCTTCCTATTGTCTGAACAAGTTCCTGTCTTACAGAGTCTGGCCACCCTGCTCTTCTAATACCTTTTCCTAGGTAATTCTACCAGACCAGAGGAGAAATCTAAGACCTGATTCCCCAGCAGTACCATATTCTGCCTCAGCCCCAGGCCAGTTGAGAAAAACAAAACAAATACTTTTATTAATGGTACGAGATTTTATTTGAAATTGGAGACAGGCCTAGGAGCAGGAATCCATGCTCTGTCTGATGCTGGTCTCTTGCTTCACATCATAGTGTGACATAAGGTACATGGAGACAGTCCGGGCTACAATGGAGGATCAGCACATTTCCTGGGGATTAAGACCCCCATTGTTTTACCTGGCAATATAGGAAAGAATTTTGTACTGTGGCCAAAAGAAACAGTGTATTTAGGGTTACACGGTTGTAAGCAAATTTATAAAGCTAAACTCCAGATCTGGCATCTCCTTCCGCGGCTGGAGAGGCTGCTCCCTCCCTGAGACACCCAGGCCTCCTCCCTTCCGTCCTTTCATTATGCCTGGGAGTAAAACTAGGGACTGCTGAGGAYGGCAGGTATAGGTCAGTRGTAGAACACCAGCTGACRATGCCCAAGGCCCTGGGTTCAATCCCAGCACCACCAGAAAAAACATATCTATTGTCATGAAAATCTGTAATCGTATAGGAGACTCACCCCAAAGGGAGAAAAAGCTCTAATCAAWGAGAAAATTTATAGAACCTGACAGTCTGAGGGAACAGTAGTTTCAAATCTATCCTACAAGGAATATTATAAAAAGAATTATGAAAACATATTGTCTTCATTTTGTTAGTAATCTGGATTGAGCCCATCATTTTAGGCTTCTTGTTTTTTGGATGTTTGTCCTACAACATTTTTTCTTTCTTTCTTTTCTTTTCTTTTTTCTTTTTTTTTTTTTTTTTTTTTTTTGTGGTACTGGAGATATTGAACCCAGGGGTGCCCCACCACTTATTTTGAGGTGGGGTCTTGCTAAATTGCTGAGGCTAGCCTCCAACTTGTGATACTCCTGCCTCAGCCTCCCACATCACTGGAAGTCACTGGGATTACAGGCATGCACCACTAGGCCTGGCTTTCTTCCTAGATTTGAACAAGGAAAGTCACAGAAGCCATCGAAAGCATGTGATCACTTATTTTTTTTTTCCCCCTTGATTTGCCAAGGAGATGACTCCTGAGTCACGTGGGGGTCAGATCTGTGAATCCCAAGTTTACTGGTCTGAGGTTGGAAAGTAGACAGCATAGTAGCAGGGCACCCTTTCCTGTGGTTGTGAGGGGAAGCCCTGTGCTGCCCTGTGCTGTCCTTGGTGTGTGCGCAGAACCAGAATACCCACGGAGGGGCAGGGGGAGGAGTGGGGGGGGCTGCTTTAGGAAGATATTGGCCTTCGCTTCCTGCCTCCCCTTTAACTCTCATTTAATATATTCTTTCATCAAACGTGGCCAYAGGGTTACGTGAATTACTGTCGAGTGGTTTGGGACTAGGGTTTTCACATCACACCTCCCTTCTTCTCCAACTCAGAGTGACTGATATCAACCTGGGGAAGCTGGTACGTGGGGATGCCCATGAATGTTTCGTCTCACCTGTTGCCAGAGCTGTGATTGAACTTCTTGGAAAATCAGGTCTGAGGCTCCTTTGAGAATGCCAATTTCTATTTATTGCTGTTATTTTTAAAAATAAGGATTCTTTTAAAAATATTACATTATTTTTAAAATAAGGATTTGTTTCTGAAAGATTCTCATTGAAGCACAGAGTGATATTTAATGTTGACTTTATTTTTCTCTTCTTTCGGGAGATATAAATGAATAACTGAAAACTTTTTCTATAGGATTGATTATATGAGAATATGAAAGAGAAAATGGCAGAAATGAATGTTAGTCTGTTATAAACATTTTCCATTTGTCTCATGAAATGGTTGAAATAACCACAAAGAAATTTCAGGTTTCAATTTCTCAAATCTGTTATCTAAATCTAGATAATGATATCTAAATCATTTAGACTGAAATGAAGAAGCTGTTGATGTCGTGTAGAACCCAGAAATCTAGACTGGGACTGATTAATGAGCAACATGTTTTTCAGTAATCATGACTTCATTTCCATCATTGTCCTTTTGACCTGCAAGTCAAAGGGAAAAGTTCATGTCACCAAAATGGAAACAAATACATTAATACTGAGATCTTATTATTTAGGGGCTTTCTAGCTGAAGACATAAAAGTTCCACTAACTAAAATTTTCACTTCTCCAATTTGAATAGAAAAGAGGTAGATGCCCCTTCCCTACCCGAACATGAAGAAAACAAAAATCTACAAATATGCAGCAGAGTTGTGTTCAAAGATTGAYTTTCAGACCATATCCTTTGGACAATAACCATTGGGCTCCGAAACTCTGAGCTAATTCATACATATGGTGTTTCTACATTATCTGAGTTATCAACATGGATGATTCCAAGCCACTTTACCAGATAATTCTGAAAGTATGGCTAGTAAAACATAGTAACRCGTTGTAGAAACAACGTCGGCAGTGAGAGTGGAACTGAGAGGATGTAACCTGAGAATTTCGGTTAATTACCTTGTGCCACTCCTGGTTCATAGTCTCTGTGAGTTTGTGCTGAAGAGCCAAGTTTTAAAAGAATGTTTTTCCTTAAATTATGTCTATCTGGGAGCAAAGATCTGGGCTTCTCTTATCATGTTTAATTTCTATTTGGTTGTTAGGTGTCAGCTTAGATGGAAAGAAGGTCTTGGTGATAGGGGCTCATGGATCTTTGGAGGCTGCACTTCAATGCCTGTTCCAGAGAAAAGGGTCCATGACAATGATCTCCCAGTGGAAGACACCCCAGCTTCAAAGCAAGGTAAATTCCACGTGGGAAACGTGCAGCCTCGAGCGTTTACACTAGGAAGGAGGAAGGGCTAGAAGTGGACAAACAGCACTTCAGGAGTTGGAGAAAGAGCAACGTGGAGTCTTTAAAAGCAGATATTAGTGCAATAGAAAACATATGTGAGAGATTATCAACAAAGCCAAAAGTTGGTTCTTGGAAAAGACTAACATACCGAAGGCCAAAATAAGATAAAGAGAGGGCACCCATAATATAACCACARAAATAGAAATTGCTTTTTAAAAAGGAGACTATGAACACTGTTACTCTTGTGAATTTGAAAATGTGTATGAAATGAAGACTTTCCATGTAACTTACCAAGTGGGCTTAAGTAAAATTRAATAGCATATTTCCATTGAAGACATTGAATCAGTCTTCTTGCTAAGCAAGCAAACAAAAAAAAGACACGGCAGGTGGTTTTACAAATCAAAGGACAGATTGTTCTAATCTCATCTTTTCTCCAGTGAGTAGAAAAAGGAGGAACATGTCCTAACTCATTTTATGAGTCTCAAAACCACATAAGGACAACATGCTAAGGAAAATTAACAGGTTGATTTTATCTGTGAATAGAGATGAARTAGTCATGAGAAAAATCTTATAAAATCAAATACCACTGAATTTGGTTTACTTTAGGCTTGCCAGGGTGATTTAACATTGAAAATCAAATTTAAAACTATGTTCTTACCATAGTATGTATAAAAAACTCATTTGAAAAAAAAAATCTAATATTCATTATGAGTTTTTCTTTAAAACAACAAAACCCACTCGAACTAAAGGAGTTTCTTAACCTCACTTAATAATGAAAATATTAGAAACATTTAAAATTAGGACAGACAAGAGGGCCTGTTAGCATTGTACTGGAATTTCTAGATAATATAGTAATACAAAGAAAGAGACAGAAAAGAAATTAATGAAAATTGTATCTAAATTTTTTAAAGTAATTATTTAATGGTAATGAAAGTTATTAAGAAAACAAAGCAGAGATACTATGTTCACAGCTAAGACTATGTTGTCTCCAAATTAATCTATACATTTTAATCAAAATCCTGGCATGATATTTTTTGTAGAATTTGACAAATTGATTCAAAAGTTTTCATGAAAGCATAGAAGACAAAATAAGACTATTTTGCAAAAATAGTAAGTAGGAGACCTATCCATGTGTATACAAGTTGAACATCCCTAATCCAAAAGTCTAAATGTTCCAGAATCTGAAACATTTTTGTACTGATGTGATACTCAAAAAGTTTCAAGAGTTTAGATTTTGAATTTTCAGGTTAAGGATGCTCAACCAACTCATCTATGCAGATAATTTCAAATCTAAAACCTCCAAAATTTAAAATACTTCTAATCATTTCAGGTAAGGGTTGCTCAACTTAGTATGAATTAATATATTCATTGTAATTAGATAGACTATTAGAGGAAAAGACACTTGTAAACAGATGCATGCATCTTTGGAAACTTGAGAGCAAGAGTTCCTGGTCAGTACGGAAAGGACTGACAATTAAAAAGTGATGCTTTTTAAACTAGTTATACATGTGGATAAAACAGAAGTATCAGCCTGACACTCTGAACAAAAAAAAAAAAAAAAAAATCACTTCTAGATTAAAGATCTAAATGTGGGAAGCAAAACTGTAAATCTTCTAGGAAAAAAATGTAGGAGTATGCTTTTAAGATGCTGAGATAGAAAGGATAGCTTAAGAGACCCAAAATGTCTACCCTGTAAACTCGTGTGGCTAAATTCCAATATAATTTTATTTACTACTGACTTGGGTCAGTAATCCCAGCTACTATGGAGGCTGAGGCAGGAGGATGGCAAGTTCTGGACCCGCCAGGTTGGAGATGTGGCTTAATGGTAGAGCGTTTGCCTAACCGGTGTAATGCCCTGGGTTCAATCTCTAGTACTGAAAAACAAAAAGCTTTACTTACAAAAACAAACAGCTTCTTTGCCAATTCCTGCTCCATAATGTATATACTTCAAAAGTGAAATTGCTTTGTTAAGAAGTACTAAACCCTCATCAGAAACAGAGAGAACCCCAAAATCACAACATTTTAAATAAAAGGTATATAAATTAGACTGCATTTAGACACACAAAAAAAGTCACTTTTCTGAAAAGAAATCATGAAAAAAAGTGAAAAGACAGGTTTAGGCTAGAAAATATTTACAGCAAACATTTAGCTGGTAATTAGAATCTTGGACTCCTCTAAGTCAGAAAGAAAAAGACAGTCCATAGAAAAGTGGGCAAATAACAGGTCATTCGTAGGTGAGGATCATGGTGATTAAAAGACACATGAAAAGTTCCCTGGCTCCCTGTTTAAGTTCACCAATCATATTGGCAATATGGGGAAACAGGTGACAGTCTGACATTTGTGGAGCTCAGGGATTCACGTATCGCTGTAAGGGATTTAAATTGAAATAAGCACCTTGAAAAGCTAYTTAGTAGAGTTGAAGGACATCCTTCAATCCTGAAATTTCACTGTGAAAATGTGTCATAGACAAGCTCTGGGAATACGTACAAGAAGACATGTTTAARAATGCTCAGGGGTCGGGGCTGTAGTTTGGTAATGGAGCGCTTGCCTAGCATTCTCAGAGCCTTGGGTTCCATCCCCAGCTCCACACAGACAAAAAAGAAAAAAGAAAAAAAGTAGGAAAGAAAAGAATGGTTAAAGCAGCATGTTTATCATCCAGTAACATGAATGGTGACCCAGTGCCCACGAGGGTGAATGGATAAATCAGTGCAGTTGTAGGTTGAGTATATAGATAGTCATGCTTGAAGCAGAATGATGTGCACACAGAGAAAATTAATAACCTAGGGCTATAAGTATCAACAGAAGAATCTTTAAAAATAGCATTCAGTGAGGGGGAAGAAAAAGCCAATTACAGAAGRGCATATTGCCTACCACACCATTTATAGAGGTCTAAATCTATGCTACAGGAACATATGGAGTAAAACTATGAAGAAATGCCTGGAAACTATGAAATCAGAAAAATGTGGGCAACGTATTAATGGAAGGGAAAGGAGGGAGACCTAGGGACCTCCATGTCCTTTCTTTTTTAATACTAAAATCATTTTTTATTCCCTTTGTTATTCTTCTTCAAAACTCCAAATCAGAGTACCAGAAAGAGGAGTGGATTGACAACCTTGAAGTGGGGATGGCTTATCACCCTGCATGGGACCTTGAGGTGGGGGTGGGGRAGGAGCATCMGTCCTGGCAGACAGGAGGTGGGGGAGACCCTGTCCTGCCCTCCTCCTTCAAGGACTCAGTCTCTCCTCCTTTTTCTTCTCTGGATTTCCATCTTCGTCTCTGTTCCTGTCTTGTTCTCTTGGGTACCAGACGTAGCTTGACCGTCTGCCCACAGGGGGACCTTCAGTAAGACCTTCCACTGTGCATGAAGCTGGTCATGCTGGCTCCCTGGTGAGGTTGCTGGCCAAGGGGGCAGCCTCTGCACAGCTCTTAGACTAGATTGCCTGGCCTGCACTGAGGGCTTAGCAGGTATTCACCGTCCATCTTTGAATTAGTTGTGTTCTTGCCCTCTTCCCACTTTGTTAAATTTCATTTTAATATTTAATGTGTTGTATTTCTTATTTATACTTGCTGAAGGAAAAAATGCTAAGTCTCTTTGACTTTTTCAAGGTGTGGGTTTGAGTGAACTTTAATGAAATAATAACTTGTAAAGAAGAAACTAAACATTGCTACTCGTGAATGTCTGGAGTATGAAACGGGGGTGCGTGAGATAGTGAACTGGCAACACTTAAATTAGTAGTGTTTTTCAGCATACTGTGACTTAACCAAAGTGAACTCCTAGATCACAACAGGTTTTTTTTAAGAGTTGATTACCAGCAATTGAAAAGAAAATTATTTTAGAAATCCAGGGGCAAATAAGGAACTAATATGTGAGACCCTCTCTCAAAAAAGAGAAAAATTAAAAATAAAGAGCTGGGGATGTGGCTCAGTAGTAAAGTGCCACTGGGTTAAATCCCCAGTACCTAAATAAATAAATAAATAAATTCGAGTCATTTGTCATCTTTTAGCGTTTTTTGAGTTACTTTCTAACATTATTAAAGTTGGATACCTTAAAAGAGAAAGTTGGCTTTTTAGCTTAGTGGACTTTTTCAGAGTCAGGAGATGTGTGGAGCATGTGCATTTCATCTTTTCCCTGACCAGTGTCCAGGTGTGTTACATTACTCTTTTATTTTCACGTCTGAAACATTTCGTTAAGTGTTTCATTTCAGAAAAGGATAGTGCAGCTCGTGCATTTTAAGCAAAGCAAAGTTAAATAAAATGGGCACACGTAGCGTGATACGTCACAGGAGTCCCTGCTTAGCTGCAGTGTCACCCCCAGTGTTCTCAGTTATCTGGGTTCAACTGAGGTCTGACAATATTAGATGGAAAATTCCGAAACAAGCAATTCATGTTTCAAATCGTGTGCTGTTCCGAGGAGTGCAGTGAAGTCGTGCACCTCCTCCCTTCATGCTGTCCTGGACGCGTCACCCCATCGTCTGGCACATCCACCCTGTATGTGCTGTCCACCCACTTGTCCCTCAGTAGCCGTCTTGGTTATCAGACCCAGTGGGGGGCATCGCAGTGCTTGTGTCAGCTGGCCTTCATTTTACCCAACAATGGCTCTGAAGCGTGGGAGCAGTGGTGCTGGCAATCAGAGAAGCTGTGGAGGAAGCTGAGAACTGCCTCCTTTAAGTGAAAAGGTAAAAGTTTATCAAGGGATGTATTTGTATGAAAAAGCAGTGTATATATATATATATCTCATCTAAGGTTTCTGTCATCCACCTGGGGGTCTTGGAATGTGTCCCCCTTGGATAAGGGGAGACTGCTGCTGTAGAACAAGATCGAAAAATACGTGCTCCTCTTGTTGGGATGAGAGAAGAAATCAGGAGTGAGTTGCAGCTCTGCCAGGGACAGTGGGTGTCTGTGACTGAGAGTTGGACTGTTTGCATAGCAGGTGGATCTAATTGATGCAA